AATATATTTTTTTATCGACCAATGAATACTTTTAATTATAGCTAGACGCGTAAAAAACGCGTGGATGATTTGATATTTAGAAAAATAGACCGTTACACGTATTCGTTAAGAAACACGTATAAACTATTTACTTTTAAAATCTTCTTAAAAGATACAAAGAATACAAAGACAAGTTTTTATTTTTATGAATAAATGTCGTGTAAAAGAGTTGTGGTTAAAATGTTCTCAAAAGTTCCTTCTTCTAATAAGTTGAAAAATTTCGATTTCATCTATTTCGTAATGATTGTTCATTTTCCAACAATTTTTATAACAATGCAAATTAAAACCTATCCCAAAATTAATCTTCAGTATATTATAATCTTTAGTCCATAAGGGCAACACGATTGAAAGTGATTTTTTGAATTCAAAATCATGATATTGAAAGATGAAACTTTTTTCATTTAATTTTCTCGTCCAAATTACATCTACTTTATCATGATAATTAGGATGATCCCATCTATTCGCATAGTAAGCCCCATAAAGATGCTTATTAAATTTGTCCCTTGCTAAAATAACAGTTGGACCTTTACCACAACACCTCGATGTGAAAGCATTCACTGTCATACCATCTCGACTCCCTCTTAATAACAGGTTGAAATCACATAATCCAATAGATTCTATATCGTTATACATGTTGGATATAATAATTGAAAGTTCAGCAGCTCGTTCAGGGTTAAGCAATTCTGAATATTTAACCGAGATTTCATCATCATTCATGGAAATTAATCTCTTGATCCGATTCAAATCATTTCTACCGATAGCATTGATAAAAGGCTCAACAAGTTGTTCATAATCCAAGGAAGTGAAATCTATAAAGTTGATGAGCATTATGCAAGGTTGAAGAAGTTCCGCAAATTTAATGAAATCCTCATGGGTAAAAGATTTAATTATATCATTGTATTCTTCTAAAGTATCATATTGATTTTGTTGAGAATTCTCTATTATGACTTGTTCAATTCCCCATCGTACAAGATTATTCCAGACATTAAGCTCATTCATCATCAAGTTTGACATTCTTAGTAAGGTTATCATTGTTTCTTTGCTCATATGAAGAGCAAAATTTTCGTCTAGAAAAAACAAGGAAGGGTTTAGTTCCATTATATAACTACAATAGAAATGTAACGTGCGAAAATTATCATTTCGGACGGAAAACTCATATATAGAAACGATGTTGGAACAAATAATTTCTGGATTATCTTTGAGGTAAAGTTCTATGTACTTTATCAGTTCCACCAAGCCAAGTTCATCGGCCGCTCTAAGAATTTCAATCAATTCTGCAACTTGAAAATTCTTTGGATCAAATTCTCCACCATAAATGTACTCGAGGATGGCTTCAAATACAGGTGGCTGAATATTTGGTTTGGATAACAAGATCATGTTATCTTTTCTTGTTTGATGCCAAGCTTCAGATAAGGCAGCGCGAAACCATTTTGATCGCGCACTTAATACTATCGAATGAACCTGAAAATTTCTGGTATCTAATTCACCATAATCCTCACCAACCCTTATAAGGACGTCGGCGAATTCTCCAGTCTTTGAGATGTTAATCAGATCATGTGAAAGAGTTCTCAGTAAATTTTGAGTCATTTTCATTCAAAAACCGAAACTAAACTGAAGTTATGAAATATGGTCGAAAAAAATGCATGGATCTACGCTGGGCTAATCACGCGATAATCATATGATTAGAATATTTATCGCAGGTTACTGCGGCGCATCCATTTTTCAGTTTTTTTTTTATTTACTTTTACAGTATACGAATAAATTTATTTAATTAAAAAATTAACCACATTTTCCCACCGATTGCCTTTTCAAGGTTTTAATTGATGGAGGATTTTTTATTGAATCATTATCTCCCAATTCATGTCTCTCGTGTAATTTTATTTCTAAAATATGAAATTAGGCAAATAAATATAACGATTAATAATTACTTTTAAAAAAGACAAGAACTTACTAAATATATGTTCGGAGGGATTTTCAATCTCAGCCTGAGCGACATTCTTTTGCAATAATGATGCCACATCATTAGCTTGATTTATACACTGATCGATTACATTGATTTTAATTTTATTTTGAAAGATGAAAATTAATTTTTTTAAATTAAAAAATTTAGTTTGCGTCTAACCTCTTGTATTTTATTTGTGTCGATTTCATCTCTGTTTTTAAAAAATTCTTCACGTGTCTTACGTTTTGCCTCTAAGCAACATATAATCCATATAGAGGGCCAATAAAAAACCCTATCTTTCTTTTTTAACTTTTAATCCAAAAAGAATCCAAAGAAAATCAAATACCTTTTATAGTAAAAGTATCCTCTTTTTAAATAAATTTTAATTAATAAAAATTCATACAAAAAATAATATCTCATTTAACTCTATCATACCCTTAAATGTTTCTCTTTGGACTTTCAAAAGTTGTTTATAAGCACGAAATACAGCATATCTAGTATTATTGTTAATTGTCACCATTATTTTTGGAAAAAAAATTTCAGAAAAAAAAATTTTTTTTGATCATTTATAACAAATCCTATTCCAATGTAGCCAAATTAGGGTCTAAAATATATATGGTTTAATTCATCATCGATCTTTTATTAATTCGATCTTAAATAGATCCTTTGGAGGAGGATATGGGGTTTTTTTTTTGCCTTTCGCCTTTGGGTATTGACAACAAATATTTGTGTGAAAGATTTTCCAAACACACAAATTGTCCGGTTCGATTTGCCATGTGTAATTCACGCTTGCATTACGAGGTAGAAACTTGAAATAAGGTTCAAATTCGAAATTTTTTGTGTAAAAACCCTAGGAATTTTTATTCTGATTTTATTAGGAGGCGAACCTTAATCTGTTTTGTATGTAGAAAATAGAAATTTCTATCGGTTTAAAGAATCCGCAGTTCATTTAAATAATCAAATTTTCTTGATAGCCTTCGATGGTTACCAGATTCGTCCGAAGAATTAAACCGTGATTGGCAGAATAAAAAATCTAGCGTCTCAAAAAATGAACAGCGGCACACCAATTGGATCACCAAGTTATTATATTATGCCGATTACATGGGGTATTACGTCTATAGTAATTCCACATGCCGATAAGGATGTCTAATATGTCTAATACATGTATAATTAATTATTTTTTCATAAATTTATTATATAAATACGACCTGGATTTCTTCTTTCTCTACAGATTTATTCATCCTTCCCTCCTTCCTTTCCCTTATCTTATTATCTTAGGTTATCTCTTTATCCATTTGCAGAAGTGTGGGAAAGTTTCACTCATTGTGACATAATTAATCATCTGTGGCGTTATTTTGGTACCTTGGTTTTTTTTTTAACCTTCGCCATTTACGTACCTTTCCAAACAAAAAAAAAAATCATCTAAATCATTATTATTATTTTTTTTTTTTAAAAAAAAAAAAAAGTCATCGCTTTATCTTTAAGGAAAATTCACGATTTTATTTCTTTTAAAAAAATAATAATAATAATAATAATGTATTGGAATGGATTCTTATCTACTATAAACTTTATAATTATGTCATTCGGTCCATTCTTTGCTCCCACTCGTACAATGGAACCTGCTTCGGTGATAAATAATGTCGGCGAATCACCGGCCGTACCTTCCTTAAATAATTTAATCTGGACAAGCTCACATTGTCAGAATTTTCTGGTTGGTGAAATGAAAAATTTTAATGAGCCAACGATACCTTCGGTCGTTAATACCGCCACGAACGATCAAAAAATCCTTAATCACAGCAGGAAGCAACAAAACTTAAACAGAAAAAAGCATCGAACGGAGAATACAAATCAACCTTCACATACAACGAACAATTTGGCTTCAAAGTCCACCGATATACTGTCTATCAGTAAAAAGTTTAACAAGAACAATAACAAGAACAATAAAAAGAATCGTGAATCTTCGGATCAAAAAAGAAAAAAGAAACGAATCAAAAACAATGAATCAAAGGATTCGCAAACCATGGAGTCCATAGATGAGGAGGGTGATATTGGTGCCGTATTTGAAAATATTGATTCTCCTCGTGGGTTGATTTCGGAATATGATACTTCGGATTTATCAAAATTGAAAGAACGTTTTAATTATGCTTCGATTGATTGTGGGGCTAATGTGTTAAAGGCGAATAAAGAAGCCAAAGGTACCTCGGCGATCTTAACTGAAAGTAAAGACTCTTATGTGCTTAACAAGTGTTCGGCAGAAAAATATTTTATTGTGGAATTATGCTATCCAATTCTTGTGGATACTATAGTGTTAGCAAATTTCGAATTTTTTTCTTCTACTTTTAAAAACTTTCGAGTGTCTATAAGTAAATGGTATCCACCAAAGGAAGACTGGAAAGTCATTGGTGAATATCGTGCAAAGAATTCTAGGGAGTTGCAGGTTGGTCAATCTTCATGATTCAACGTTCATTCGTATATTGGTTTATTAACGAACCCTTTCTTTTTTTTTTTTATTTTAAATAGATTTTCAGTGTCAAAGATCCTATAATGTTCGTAAAGTATCTTCGTATTGAATTTCAGACGCACTATGGACATAATCATTATTGTCCAGTTAGCTTACTTCGTGTACATGGAAATAGTGAAACGGATATGTGGAATAAAGAGCAAGAGCAAGATGGAATTGCACAATCAACATCACAAGAAGATGTTCTACTGAATGTCGAGCCCATAGGTATATTAGAACCTTCTATTGAATCAGACGATCTAGACAAATTATCAGAAGATACTCGAACGGATTCAGAAAATTTTAAAGTTGAAAATGATACATTGCAACGGGAACAATCCCATGCTGCGAATAATAATAAAATCACAAAGTCACATAACCAAGGCGTGGAAGTTCTAAAATCACCAGTCAAGAATAAGAACGTTTTAGAGCATGGATTTTGTTCCAGGGTTGATCCTTTAAATCGGCGATATTCATTTCCGATTAAGATCTTTCAGGATAATTCACTTATAATACATCCTGGAATTTGTCATATTGATCAATGTCCCATTTTTGTAACAGAATCTGATCTCTTTTCTGATAATTATATTGATATCATTGTTCCAAATAACAGATCTATCAAAAGTGGCAATGCGATAAAAAAACCTTTACCACTTCAACCAAAGCAAATTAAACCCGATTTCAATAATAAAAATAATTTACCAACCGGCGTGCCAAATCAAAGTTCATATATGTTTTTGTTTAAACGTATTTTAACCCTTGAATCTGACGCAACTGTTAACAAGCGACATATTGAAGAACAAAGTAAATTGTTGAGAGAAGTTTATGGTAAGGTTAGCTCTCACTCGGAAAAAATTGGTTCAATTATGAATCATTTCACTGGTACAGTGGAGACTTTGGTGTGTATGATTTAAGTAACTCTCAATGAAAACATTTACTTTTTTGAAACGCAATGATACTTATATACTTATTTTCCTTAGAAAAATCAATATGAACAATTGCTTCAAATAACCTTCTCCGAATTTCATACTAATCAAAGTAGAATCGAGGGGGAATTAAAGGTCCTTACTTCAAATGTTCACTTATTAGTTGCAGAGGTAACTTATTTTTTAAATCCTCTTTTATTTTTTTATAAAAAATAATAATAATAATAATAAATTCCTATCAATTATCACTAATTTTTTTTTATTTTCAACGTAGATTGTCTTCTTGAAAAGACTTTTGCTATTTTCCTTTCTCTCATTCTTAGTTTTTATAGGTGTGACTCATGACTGGGTGAATATACGAAAATCTTTACTGGATCTTCATGCCGCGAGAGCCTTGTCACAAAAATTGACAAATATTCAACAAAAACAGCATCAACATACGAATGAAGGTAAATCGTTTTTTTCGATTCATCGTAATATTATTAAACGAACTTTTTTTTTTTTATTTAATATTTATTCATTCATTTATTTTTTTAGTTTTCTATGATGTGGAAGATGTTTATACGGACAATGAGAATGAATAAACAATAACAAAAGATTTTTTTTCTAAAAAAACAATTCATTTATTAAAAAATAAAATTCACGAAAGAAATGGACATTTTCCGACTTTATTGTTTAAATAAAGGTATAGGATTATGTGGGTGGGTGCATATTTTTTTTTTTTTTAAAAAAAAAAAAGAAAAATCCAAAATCAATATATTCAATTGTATCAACAATTTTTTTCTTCCAATTGTATTTATATTTTAAAACTTTTAAGAATTTGTACAAAAGTTTCATTTTTTTTCTTTCTATTAAAAAAGACATTGCAACTTCATCTTTACAGAAATAAATTAATAAAAATAAGTATATTTATGATAAGTATAGTAAATTAGATTAAAGTAATGTATGATTAATAATATATCGAATTCATCTAATGTATTAGCCGCAAAAAGATTTAATAATAAAAAAAAAATACTCGTAAATCTTTAATGAATTAAATAATTATTCGGCGGGTTCAAATGTATGAGTATGAGCTTTTTCATTAAATAATTTAAGTGTAGGGCCTCTCTTAAGTTTTAGAGTTGATGATCTTTTTACATCATACCCTTCAGGTTTTTGCAATGGATGAACTCGCTATTAAAAACATTAAAAATTTCGCATTAGTAAATTACATAAATTCTTCCAAAAAATAATCTGTTAAGTAACTGTACCTCGTGTAATTCATCTTTGTCACCATCACCACCATCATCATCGCTTTCCCAAGTGTCATCATCTTTACCCTTTTTCTTATATGATTTAATACCATCAGGAGTTGCGATATAATAAATTAACGAAGGAAAGTAATCCTTTCTTTTCCTCTGCCCTGGTGTGAATATATACATTTCAATTTCCGCAATGACCTATCGTTCATTTAATACAAATATATATATATATATATATATATTATGAGTTAGAAAGTCGTCATCTTTGAATTGAATCGATTAAAAAAAAGGGGGAAGGGATAATATTACCTCGGCTTTTTGTTTAAGCCAAACTTGTTTACCACTGAGTTTTGTTTCATTTACCACATCAGACATAAGAGCGATCAATATGTTTAATAATATTATTGTGGTAAAAAAAGAGAATACTACTACCATTATAACCATGTCTCTTCCTTTTATATTATCAATTGATGAATATTCTCCAACCTTTCAAGTGAAAAAAAGGAGGATTAATAAAACTCGTAAAAAAAAAAAAATAAAAATAAACTAAAACGCAAGATGACGAAAAAATTAATTATAATTATCGCTTACCAAAAAGAAATAAACGGATATCAGGGATGTAAAATAGTTACCAAACGCACCATCCGAATTTGTTCTCAATAAGATATGTAATATATGTGCAAAAGAAAATACCATAATACCTATTATCACAAGTGTCCACCAAACCTTTTTAAATATTTGAAATATAATAAAGATTGGTATTCCAATAGCTCTGAACACTCTAAAATGCAATATCTAAAAACAATATACACGTTTATAAATGTTAATCATTGTCAAAAGCATTTAGACAAAA